CGATTTCTCTGCGAATGGCTTTGATTTTATTGTGTTAAGTAAAAGGATGACCCCTTGCTTACGATGACTCCCCGTGATTCCAGAAGGTATATTACCAATTCCGTCTTTGAGCGCAGTCTGGAGATGGAATCGCAAAAGGAATAATATGTCATCCAGATCAGACAACGGACCCTTGTGATCGTCGATGAACCATTACCGGTTTCAGAAGTATGGGGAAGTACCAGGGTGCCGAGTCGAGTCCAAATGGTAGTCATGTGAATGTGACGGTCCTGCCAGATGAGACTCAGGAGGCGAGTGCTCTCTGGCACTACAGGCACGGAGACATAGGCGTCCTTCGTACTGAGATGTATGAACATGTCGTTGGCCAGTAGGAGATCTTGTAACAGACCTTCCATCTTGAAACGGCAATAGACTACAAAGTCGTTCGTGTGACGTGAGTTGACGGCTGGACTGTAGTCCCCTGTCTTTTCCTGACCACAAATATCTTCTTGAAGGAAACCTGTCCGGAGACAACTGGACTGCTCCTTTGTCGAGCAGGATCAGATGCCTTCATCAACAAGAGGTCCGTGGGTTGCCTTCATTTGTAACGGATGAGTACATTCTACCAGAGAGGGTGGAGAGTGGAATCCTATAACGTATTCCAGAACGGTCCATAGGATCCAACCGTGTGTTGAATGTGGTGAAGAGATTCACATGTTCAAGTTCAGCGATAAAGGTTCAGCAAATAATAATCCAGTTGCCAATGGTCCTATTGCTCTCTTCTGTAGATCCGAGAGCTTGTTGTCAATTTCTTTGAAGATCTTGAGTGTCGTGGTGCCTGTGGGTTGAATGGGGGTAAACCCAGTGTGTCAATGAAGACATTTTCATCAGTGCTTGCAATCTTGTGACATTCCTTTCTCTGTGTGGAGTACTATGTTATGTATTCCTTGACGTAATGATATGCCGTAGTTGGCATAATGTGCCCATCGTCAGCAACAGAGGTCAAGCCAGCTGTTCGCCATTCGTCCACTTTCGCCATAGTGTGTGATTTGGGATAAAAGTCTTCTTCCTCGGAGGATGGAAGTGGAGGAGGGACTATGTCGTATAATTCTACACACCTGGGTCCCTTGAGTGGAGACCTCCCTTTAAATCTCATGGTTATGAAGCCTGAGCCTTCCTAGTGCCTTTTAGGAAGGGCCATGGTTACCCTGGATATCTCAGAGCCCTCTGTTCTCACCACGTCTTGGTTGGCAGACAGGAGATGTCTCATGATTCAGGTGGGAGGTTGCGCACTCTACAAAGCGCCTTCTTCACTGACGTTGCTATGGCAGCATATGACATGTTGCTGGAATCTTGGGTCGGGGTTTGTGATGGTTCAGGCATCATTCCCCAAGGTTCCTGTAATGGCAGGATGAGATACACGTGAGTAATATGTGTGCACCTCTTAACGTTGCAGGGTGTCTGGTTCCCAGTGCAAGTGATGTACATCCAGAATTGAGTGCAATAATAATATTATTATGCACGGAGTGGTTGGAGTGCCAAATGAGAGGGGGTCACCCTCTAATGACCGGTGAATTCTGTTCAATGCAGTCCCAAAATTGTCGTGGCATAGAGAATGGGGGGTCCCCCACACAAAATTATATATATGAAGGGCCTTGGTAAGGCGTGGGGGTTCACCCCAGCTGTAAGGGGGGTCACCCCTATAAAATGTTTGCCCTGAAGGGTCTGTACAAGTCTCGCTTGGGGGTCACCCAGTGTAGGGGGGGTCACCCCTGTAGTATTCCTGCCACCGAATGGTCTGTGCAGTTCTCGCTTGGAGGTCACCCAGCGTAGGGGGGTCACCCCTGTATTATTCCTGCCACCGAATGGTCTGTGCAGTTCTCGCTTGGGGGTCACCCAGCGTAGGGGGGTCACCCCTGTAGTATGTTTGCCACTGAAAGGCTTGTGCAGGTCTCGCTTGGGGGTCACCCAGCGTAGGGGGGTCACCCCTGTATATGTATGTCACTTAGGACTGGTGCTAGACTCACCTGGAGGTCACCCAGCGTAGGGGGGTCACCCCTGTAATACCACGAGATCCAAGGTGGCTGACGTTCGCGAGCAAATATGCCGTGCGGCCTGCGATCGCGGCCTGCCGGTGTGGCAAAGCGCCCCCTCACTCCCCCAACCACCAGTACATTTGCCTTGAAGCCCAGAACCCTGTCAGTAGAGAAGACGCGATCGCGGTAAAAAGCTGCGATCCGTGCAAGGATAGTGACAGGGAAACACAGGGCCAGCAGAAAACACAGATAAAGCAATATATAAAACCAACATAAGGGGTAAAGCAGGGAGAATGGGAGCAGGGGATAAATAACAATACACAAATGTTCAAATAAAGTGCAAACAGCTAATACAATAAATGAACAGTGTGGAGCAAATTACTCTGACCTGTGCCTTGGCTGGAGCAGCAAAGAAAGAGGAAGTGATACGGGGGAGGGGCCTTTTATACCCTGTTGCAATGTTTTTTTCACTAAACTTTATAGCCTCCTGTCATGTAATAAAATTCTCCTGAACAGTGAGATTGTGGTGTGATTTTGGAAATAATACAAATTACTAACTGGAAATAATAAGTATCCCTGGAAAAATGTTTATATTAGTGCTATATTGAATTGAGTCAATAAAGTGCACAGATATACAGATGGGGAAAAAATGTAGAAAGGAAAATTATTTCTACAAC